GCACAACGACCCACGAAGTCGGTTTCCGAGATGTCGCATCCACGTACACCAGCAACGACGAGATTGATTGATGCGAGCTTGGCGGAGTCGCTCATGGGTCTGATTCATGCCAGCCGATCGTCGGGTCGGATGCGGATCTATGTTCGGTCTCGTGCCGATAGCTTCTTGAAGCTGCCGGCTTGATCGTACGAATGTTTAAGTTCTCGCCCAAGATATTCTTCGTAATCGCTGAAGATCAGGAGTTTACCTCATGAGTTGGTGCTCCCCGCGGGCGTCGGCGGTCATTAGCAATGGCTTCCACTAGCAACGAGAGCAGCACGAATAGCCACGAGTTGCGTCACAAAGGTCTCACGCCGTGTGACTGAATCTCGACCCGTCGAATGCTTGCTTTCGGTAACCGGTTGACCAAATGGACATTTTCAGCACACTGATTCAACGGCACTAGCCCCCAGATCCACAGATCCAAAGCTCACGTCGCGATGACACTTGCTCATCATGAAGATCCCGAAGGCTTGCGTAAAACAGAGAGCTAGAGCTGAATTGTAAAGCCCTGGCTCTTTCAACAAACATGGAGGGCAGCTTCAAGGTGCACTTTGACTCTCGAGCAAGCATCGAGAACTGGCTGACGGAGTACACTGGTACATCTGCTGGTCTGAGATAAACGCGAAGTCTTGGTAAGGTTTCCTCGTTGCCTTTCAAAAAGATAAGATGTCGTTCTTTCCACCGGATCACTGTGGATCGCGACGGTCGCAGAAGCCATGGAGATGAACCAGATCGCCGGGTGGGAGCTGGGCCTCATGCAGACGACTCATCCAGCCAATGATGGGCAATCGCTAGCCATACTATCTGCTCGAACTTTTGTTCTGCATGCACGATCTCGTTGAGAGACCCGCCTGACACGATGTCGGTAATTGTCGGTAGGTGATAGCCCGGAGTCCTTGGCGAAGTGACTGGAAATTGCCGGACTCGCGACATGAGGCTCACCCACGTGCTGCTTGTGGCTCCCCGCAGCGTCGTCCCTCGACTTGGGGCTTCCCCGGATGTCCCCGGGAGGCTGGGGTAAAACGTGGGGATGCAACGATGCATGCGATGACAACATGTTTCCAGCGGGAGCGACCGCAGACCGCATGACTGAATCGTCTGCTGCAGGGTAATTGCCGATCAATTGGTCTTTGGCTGCACCTCTTCGGGCTGAGACGTTCAGTTGTGGCGGAGGACGTGCGGCTGAAGTTGGGTGGCATTGAGGCTCGCCCGGCTCACCCCAGCATGGTAGGTACAGAGTATTGGAAAGCTGCGTCCGGGCATCGTTGAAACTAAAGTGAAGATAGCTTTCCTGAAACTCTCTTCTCGTTTTGCAAGATGCTGCGTAGCGATAGCACCCAGCATAGCCCCAGGTAGGCCTAAGACTCCGTTCGGGTCTCCAGCAAATACGGTCCAAGGTCCAAGGTAATCGCAATTGCGGCCTAGAACGAGGTTAGTCCAGACCAAGAAGATCGCTTCTCCTACTCACAGTGCGGGCCTCAAGATGGCTCGAACATGCCTACTTAGACGTCGAGTTTCGGCTTCATCGGCGGGCCCGGGCGTGTCTGAGGGCAGATGCGGCAAGACTGGAATAACATCAATTCATTCATTCGAGGCTGTCAATCAATGTTGAGGATGCCGTCGTTGCAAGAAATTAGATATCAGCTTCGCACATGAGAAGCTGGTGGAATGATGCGATGAGGTTGACGCTGAGGAAGATGCCAGGAAAGAACAGGACGAAGCTGATTGGACAATACCAGATAAGATCCGATAAGACAATGCCGCCTATTGGAATACACCTGATAAGTAGCTGCAAATCTACATGAAACGGGGCGCTTACGTCACGTCTCGGATTATGCCAGTACCGGAATGTGCCCCGCGCTCCTGCCCCACCATTGCGTCTAGGGGACGTTGGAGCTTGTCACAGAGAAAGCGGTGTTTGTTCCAGCAGCTCTTTTTCGAGACGCGAAGCTGCAAAAATTGTTCTTCTCTTCTTCAAGCCACTGTTGTTTTTGCTGCAAGATACCACCTCACCACCTCAAGATGCCCAGTACTGCCTCCCGCCGACGAGATCCCCCGGGACCAAGCTAACTCGCGCCCGCAGCCCCGTACTCGACCGGCGACAAGACGTCCTTCGGCTGGGTCACCGCCCGCGAGCGTTGGCCTGTCATTATCGTTTGTGCTGCCCATCTTGAGAAGGAACTATGGCTTTTGCTGACCGCTTTGATACAGACCCAGGCCATTGACGATCTCTACCGCTCCGTCGCAGCGACCGATGACAAGGAGAAGCAGGAGGAGGGCAAGAAGATCGTCGAGCAGATCGCCCGCCTCAAGTACGAGGTCCAGCACGACCGCGCCCTTACGTACGAGCCATACCGGTAGCCCCTAGGCTGCGCATATGCTGACCTTCGCAGGCCAATTGAGGACGACGGATACCCTGATGTCGCCATCTACAACGAGGACCTGAAGAAGCTCGGCGAGCCAACTTGGCTTAACATTCCCTGGCTCTACTGCGAGTGCTATCTGTTCAGGTAAGTTCTCCGTTGGCAAAGTAGTACCCAACAACCTCGGATTCTTTGCTAAGAGTGCAAAACACAGACGTATCAGCACCTACTTTGCCAAGTCCACTCACTGGAAGAGCTACGATGTCTTCGCCCGCCAGAAGATCAGCACCTTCCGCTCATCTCGCCCCGCAGTCGTCGAGCTTGCCTCCAAGTACAAGGATATTGTCGAGCAGATCCGTAGCAACAAGGGCGCCGCCAACGACGAGGCCGCCGAGAAGCTTCTCTTCACTGAGATGTGCGAGATTTGCCTGTGGGGCAACGCGACTGACCTGTCCTTGTTGACGAGCTTGACATACGAGGACATCCAGAAGCTGCAAGGTTCCGAGGCCCGCAAGGCTTCCGAGAAGAACATCATCGCCAACGACCTCCCCGCTGTGTACGAGCTGCTGAAGAAGGCCAAGGCCGAGGGCAAGGCTGAGCGCCGCGTCGACATCGTCCTAGACAACGCTGGATTCGAGCTGTACGTCGACCTCATCCTCGCTGGTTACCTCCTCTCTGCCGGTCTGGCAACACACGTCGTCCTGCACCCCAAGTCTATCCCCTGGTTCGTCTCGGACGTCCTGCCGGGCGACTTTGCTCAGCTTCTGAGCGCCATCGCCGCCCCTAAGCCCTTCTACGAGACGCCCTCAGAAGACGAGCAGTTGCAGAACAAGACCCCTGAGCCCCTGTCGAGCACGGACGAGGCCAACTTGTCGTTCCTGTTCCAGGAGTGGAGCCGTTTCCACGCGGAGGGGCAACTGATCCTGAGACCCAACCGCTACTGGACGCATCCCGGTCCCTTCTGGCAGTTGCCCGAGGAGGCCAAGGATCTGTACGAGGACCTCAAGGACAGCGAGGTCGTCATCTTCAAGGGCGACCTCAACTACCGCAAGCTGACTGGCGATGTAAGTTGCCCCGTGCTCGACTAATGCGACAAAGCTGACACGTTTTCAGGCTGACTGGGACGCCGCGACGCCCTTCACGGAAGCCATCAAGAACCTCGGCCCCGGCTCCGGCGTCAACGTCCTCGCTCTGCGCACCTGCAAGGCGGACGTCGTCGTCGGCCTCAAGCCTGGTGAGGATGAGAGGTTGAAGGCCCTGCCTGACGGCGGCGGCGACTCCGGCTGCAGGAAGTGGGGATGGAGCGGCAAGTGGGCAGTTGTGTCATTCTCGCCCGGCAAGTGAGCTTCTTTTCATTCCGTTTTATTATTTTAGAGCCATGATCCCATATAGACCCTTCACCTTGAGCAGCTCAGATGCAAATAGACCGATCGTCATAGAGTTACGCTGTTGCTGTTCTTCACCCTACTGCACGTCCCCGCCTCGCTCCTAAAACACAGCTAGCCGCATGATAATTTCGAGTTCTGTCATTTCTCTTTCGCAAGCTTTTTGCTCAAACCCAGTCGTCAACGGAAGGATCGTAGATTGGAATACGTGGTCTTGGCCGACGTAATGCTCGACTTGAAGGCGGAGAGTCCCTGTTCTTGTTCTGTGTATGTTCTGGACCTTCCTGGTCCTTCGAGTTACCATGGCTCTGGGCGTCGGCATGGTTGTCGGTGTTTCCGTGGACCTTTGAGTTCTCTTGATCTTGACAGTCTCTCAGACCTTCATCAGGCTCCTGGTGTGGCTCGTCTTGCTTAGTCTCCATAGGTGCGAACTCCGGATTTGTTCCTTCCTCTTGCATTCTAACCCTGCGTTGCCTTTTTCTGGCGGCCCATTCTTTTGGATCCTGCGCTGCGGGCAACCATCAGCAACTCGGTCTATGAAATCATATGAGGTATTCTTACCAGGGTAGCATTCCGGGCAAATGATGTGTTTACAGCCGTAGCAGTCGTGTCTATTCCTATTCGGCACACGACACTCGCAGCAGTGCCACATTTGGTTGCAGATGCGGTAACAGCAGTCTGGCTCGCAGAACGTATCCTCGAAATAGTCGTTTCGTGTGGTTAATGAGCCGCACAATCGGTAGCCGCTCTCGAAAACGTAGGTTGCATTCTCGCATGGCGTATTTCTTTGACGATCGTGGCCGCATAACGTAAAATTGAGGAATACTTCACGGCACATGTTGCCTGTTTGGTAGATTGTGTTTATGGCAGACGAGAATCCAAACTCGGGTCAACAGGTGAGAAGAGCTTTTTGTCATTTTTGTCCTAGGAATTATCTGATCCATCGTGTGGTCATTAAACAGTGACAAGGTATGAGAATCGTATGGTTAAAGATGGGAAGGACCATTCAGGTCGCCGCTGCCTCCACACCTTTTGGGGTTGCCCTTTACCGAAGCTCACCGGTTCCACACCGAGTCCATCACGAAGCTCACCTTGGAGTAGTCCACCAAATATTACAACATCGTACCAAAGCAGATACAAAGAAGGCTTTACGACAAAAGAAACCCCTCCCCCACCATCCAACTTTGCATCCCTCCTTCCCGTTCATCTCTCAAATACAGATCCCGATGCAATCCGCCCCGCCCCTCTTGGGATCGCAGTCATCTCTCGGGTCGTCGATGCAGTACTTGCCCGCAGGACACGCCTTGCCGACGAACCCGCCGCACTGGATCTCCTGCACGCAGATGCCCGGCATGTCGCACGCCTGGCCGCAGCCGCCCACCCACGGGTCGTCGATGCACGCGAAGCCCGCCGCGCAGACGGGCGCCGGCGTGGGGCGGAAGCCGCCGCAGTCGCTGTAGCTCTTGGTCTTGCTCGGCAGGAGGTGGATCGTCTTGGTCGGCCGGACGAGGCTGGTCAGCGTCGCGGGGAGGGTGAGGGTCGAGAGCAGAGTTGAGGCCGGGCTTGGGATTGGGTCGACAATGGTCGGGAGAGGCGAGCCTGGGAGGGAAAGTAGGGTCGTTGGGAGGACTGGTTTGATGGTGGATGTTGCGGCGCCGAGGAGGGGCTGGCCGAGGACGGCGAAGAGGATGAAGGAGACGTGCATGGTGAGCTTTTTGGATGGGGAGAAACACACAAAGTTTCAAGAACCAAACGTTTGAAAGTTTGATACGAGGCTGGAAAGTTTTAAGTGATGGGTTTGTTGATTTTGGCTTGGGGGAGGAATGCGGTCTGATGGGCCTCATATATACTACATTCCAGCCACCGCACCAGCTCCAGTCTCGACCGACATTTCGGGCACAAACACGGGGTACATCATCATTTCTTCTTCCATTTCTGGGGTCATGTCTGACGTTGAGTGCAAGGGAGGAGGTCCCGAGGTTGTCGTCTCCAAAAATGGAAACATGCTACAAAGGAGGCTAAGGCGGGAGGGAAAACGCCTTTCGTGTAACCACTTCAGGCCCCGATCGACAGCCCAGAATCGAGTTTCGGGAATTCAAAAGCGGCTTAGATAATGTCGCCGAAAGCCTCAAACTTGCGTTGCCCTTCCCCTCTTACCTTACGAGGTGCGTAGAAACACGGCCGAACGTAACACCCAAGAGACTTATTCCGTTCAATACACTCCGGCTAGATATACGCATCTTTAAGATAGTTTCCGAAATCTAGTCTTCAGCTGTTGATCGTAGCATCAGCGCATCGCCTTCGTCATGCTTTGACAGCTTCCGCGCAGGGCAAGGTTGAGCGGCTGCCAAGGCCACGCGGGAAGATCTTCCTCCTCTTACTTTGTGACGCCCTTTCAGGTGGGACGTTTTCGGAGTGAGACTGTCTTCGCGGGAGAGGCTTACTACGGCAAGGCGGTTTAACAACACAGGCATGATATGGTAGGGTGTGATATAAGGTTTTGCAGCATGGGGGCTAAAGAGGCGGGTAAAACGGTAGAGTGCCCAGGCCGGTTCAGCTCGGTATGATTGAGGCGTGCCGAGGCTTGTTTCTGGTTGGTGATGTGTTGGATATTGGGGAATACGAAGGATCCGGAAGGATACTTTGGATGAACGCAGTTGGTCCGATCTTTCGAGTGCGCCCTGCGTCATCTGACAGGCGGAAGAAAACACGGTCGGCCCGTATGGGAAGGATCCGTACAGCCACCGCCCGGCAGGCTCCAATAGGCCCCACCATTGGCTCCGGTCCGGCCGCCGAGACTCCGGCTTACTGCCGCTGTGAAACATGAGCGAGTGCCTCACTGTTCAACTTGATAGGATTGAGATTTAGATTATTGTGCCTCTGAAATGCAATCTCCAGTCCCGAAGAGAAGCTAAAGTCCTCCATATTCGCGGGAATAATGTTCTCCCCACACCGAGAGCAAGGTCCTTGTCTTGGCTAACCTTTTTGTACAAGGTTTCAAGCGGTCCCTTGTTTCTTAAAATAGGTAGTTCCCCTTCCCCAACACCTACCGTTTCCAGCATGTCTCGGAGCAACACACCACGAAATGACCAACGAGCGTAAGACGAGAATCACCAGAACGCGTTCCGGATGCCTAACATGTCGTAAGCGGCACACCAAAGTCGGTTACACTTTTCTTTATGACTGCTTTGGGTGTTTTCAATTAGGCTAATCAATCGATGCAGTGCGATGAAGGAAAGCCTCACTGTCAGACTTGCATGCGGCTGAACATCCCGTGCGCCGGGTACCAAACGGGCTTCAAGTTTCAAGAAGATCCCCAGCCGGTGCGTCTGAAGGCTCGGAGGCAGGCCAAGCGGGGAACGCCGGTGAATTCGCGGCAAAGTGGGACATCCGCTTCACCAGGCTCATCGCCAGCTACACCGGAAGAAGAGCTCAAGGCGGAGGGCTACGATGAGAAATGGCTGCGCGCGCACTTTCCCTCTCAGCTTCCACGCATTTTTCGCGAGATTTTGCAAGGTGTGGGACATGACAGCGTCGCATATCGTGCAGCGGTATGCTCTGGCGCACGTTCCAGTCGAGTTTAGCAGCGATGCGCCGAACGATACGCAAGTCACGGCCTTGAAGTTCTACCACTTGTCTCTTCAAGACGTTGCCAAATGTCTTCCGGTAGAAGACGCCGACCACATGGCTCTTTCCCTGGCGATCCTCAGCGTGCTGTCGATTGTAGAGATGAAGCTTGGGACATACCTGGGCGGTCTCACGCATGCCAAGCAAGCTGCCGCGCTCATTGCTGATAACCTAGGTACTCTTTCTTCTTCAACATTGGGCAGGCAGGCGGTCGCCGCGTGGTTTCCTATCAAAGCTTGGTACTCTGTTCAATGTGTGCCGTGGGACAACCTTGCTCCCGTCCTGCCATCCGAGGCTCTTGGCCAATCTTGGGATCTGCTCCAGTCATCGGACGACAAGAGCCATGAGCTGGCTGCGCTTCTGGTCGAGAGTCGACGGCTGTACGCCCTCGTATCACTACATCGACTGCTGAAGACGAGTTCTAGCACAGATGACATATCGAGCTGGCCAGATTTGTATCAAACAGTTGTCAACAAGTGTTCCTCTGGGCTTGGCAAAAGCGAAGAAGCATCGTGCCGCACAGAAGTGGCCGGCCTTCGCGATAGGCTGGATGCCTGGCACGACTCGATTCCGCTAGAAGACCGACCCATCTACGGCACGACATCCAGGTTGAAGAAGCAGCTCGCCTCACAACCGCCCGGTCCGCGGATTGAACCGCTCACCTTCCAGTCCTACCGTGCAGCAATGAACTACGCCCGTTACGCCGCCGCCCAAGCCCTCTCCTCCGACGAGGCCCTCGACATCGTCACCGGCGCGACCTCACCTCCTACCGCATACAGAGACGAATGGAACCACCTTATCCTCCAGATCCTCGCTGGCCTAGAAGAAGTACCATGCACCGGCGATGACGACAACTACCTGGGTCTGACGTGGATTGTTGGCCAAGTCGTCGGGCTGCGCTGCTTAGACCCCTCCGTTATATCGTGGATCGAAAGCCACCTCGAGCTCTTGGCGTCGGCAAGCCAAGATTGGGGATCTCTCATGCCCAAAGACCTCTTTCGGCCCCTCCTGGCTTTGCAGAGGGGGCTTCTTGAGCGCGGGCGGGTAGCGGTGCATATTTTTGGGGATATGGGGCCTAGTATTGAGCTTTCTGAGGCGAGATCTCCTGCGGCCAAGAGGAGTGTGCTAGTTGTGGGATTGGATATTGAGTGTGGCAAGGGCTTTCGCGAGGTGGTTGTCATAGAGTAGGGCCACATTTGCGTAAGGGGATGGCTTAGACAGGTGAAGTGGAGATATTTCCCAAAGAGGAAATCGGGAGCGCGCTCTGGGGAGATGGTTTTGGGGGTGCCAAGAGCTCGTGTTGATGAACACCAGCTGAATATCTTGTTGTTGCCTTGGCGATAATCATACATAAAGACAATGGAGGATATACGGCGATTAAAGGTGCATCTTTTAGCATCTTTATTCTGCCAGAGCTGACCTTGTTCCCTTCTCAAGTTGAAGTCAGCGAGCGACAACAGCCCGCAACATGTCAGCCACACTATCCGCCTCGACGCTGGTCGCAACTCCAAGCCCAACTGAGACGACAGCGGCCGCATGTATCAGCATCGCCCCGGACTCAAATGGCCATGTTCCCTATGGTGCCTGCCACGGATTCTGGCCCTATGTCCCCAGCTTCGAAGGAAACCTCGCTCTCGCCATTCTGTTTGGCCTGTCGGCCCTGGTTCACCTCGTCCAGGCAGTTATGTACAAGCAAGTAAGCGCTCATCGATTTCCGCATCCAATATTCAGGTTAGGCCTGATATCTAACTCAAACTTTGCTTTAGCGTTACTGCTGGGTTATCATCATGGCCGGCGTCTGGGAGACTTCTGCCTTCGTCCTCAGAACACTAGGAGCGAAGAATGGCCGTGTGTTGCCATTCTACATCATCTCATCGCTCACCTTTATGCTCGCCCCCTTATGTAAGTCATCTGTCTTATTCACTCAGGAGACGTACGGCTGCGAACAAGTCACTGATCGCCGTCTACTTAGGGATCAACGCATATGCCTATATGGTCGGCGCTCGCATCGTCCACTTTTCTCTTCCAGACCGACGAGTCTTCCGCATCAAAGCCTCCTATATGACGAAGCTCTTTGTCGGTGCTGATCTGGTTTGTTTTGGCGTTCAGGGAGCCGGTGGCTCGATGCTATCGGGACAGGGGAGCGCTTCAACGATGCAGACGGGAAAGGTTCTCTACACTGCAGGTTGCATAGTTCAGCTCATCTTCATCGCCGTCTTCACTGCAGTGGTTGTGCAACTGCACGTCAAGGTCCGAAAGAACCCGCCGTCGGCCTGGAATGCCAATTCGTTGCAGCTGATCTGGGTTATCTTTATCGTCTTGATCCTCATCTTCGTAAGCACCTCCGGGAGTGTCTTGAAAGGACACGTGCTAATTGACGTCTAGGTTCGACTCATTTTTCGGCTGGTTGAATTCGGTCCCGGCGGAATGAATGAGACGATAATAACTGCTGAGGTGTACGCGATTTGCCTCGACGCTGTGCCCATGTCCGTCGCACTGGTTATTCTGAATGTTTCTCATCCTGGTCGAATGTTAACTCAAACAGCTTTCGACAGAGTCATCATGGAAGAATCTGAGATGGGCAACATACCAAGACGTCAGGGACGCTACGAGGAGCTGGGACAGGCTGATCGAAATGGTTCAGTCTCGCCATTGCCTAAAGGACGTTTCCCATGATTCTCCTCTCAGGGTCATCCTCAATGCAAGCTGGCTCACCTGCCAGTAGGATTGAGGTACAGGCCGTTGACGCGAGCTGTAATAATATGTCATATGTAATCTAAGATGTCTCTGTCACATTTCTTGTCGTGTACTGTACTATCGCTGCGCTATAAATATCTCAAGTGCCTCTTGGATGTCTACGAAGAAAGTTCCACTCATAGCTTTGGCGGAACCGTAATGCCCAACTCCTTCGCAATGATATCAGCTGCCTTCTCGCCGACAACAAAGGCAGTATTATTCGTATTCGCGCCCACATTCTCCGGGCAGATGCTCAAGTCCACGAGCTTCAGCTTCTCGACACCGTACACACTTAGGCTGGAATCAACGACACCCTTATCATCTCTTGGCGCCATCTTAGCCGTTCCCAGCGAGTGCCACGTCGTGTTGAGGTTCTCTCGGACAAATTGCTCGATCGCCTTGTCGTCTTCCGCAGTATACTCGATGTTTACGACATTCTTGTGCGCATCTGCAGAAACTTCATCCACCAGCGCGGCCTTGGACGTGGGCGCAAAGGCAGGGTGGCCGCCGGCGACTTCACCGCGGTAGAGGGCTGTGCGCCGGGCGATCTCGCGGGCTTTCTTGTACGCCCAGATGTGCTTCTTCAAGTCAATGTCGTTGGCGTCCGTGAGAAAGCCGGGGTTGAAGTCGAGCGGGTCGGAGACGTTGGGACCCGTGATATGGATATGCCCTCTGGAGTAGGGGTAGGCGGTGTAGTTTGCGCCGGTGGTGTATTGGCCTACTGGGATGCCGGAGTGGTCACCGAGGAATCTGGATTATGTTAGTCTTCAGGATTCTCAGATGAACACGTGAAGCCTTACCCATGCAAGAAACCACTGAGCATCAATGGGCGGTTGATATCGTTCTTGAAATCCTTGTCCCATGCGGCGCGGAACTCAGGGCCAAGGGTGTCAATCTCCTCCTCGGTTGGGCGAATCTTGCTGACGATGTCAACGCCGTTCCAGCCCAGCATCTTGTGCTTTTGCGCTATCGCATCTTCGTGGCTTATGCGTCCACTGAAGATCTCGTCGAGTGTCTCATCCTTTGAGAGCGCTGTCTTGTAAGGGTAGAGAATGAGATGGTGGTCCTGGTAGTCATGTCCAACGCCGGGAAGATCGGTAACAACGGGAACGCCGGCCTTGGCGAGAACCTCTTTGTTACCGACACCAGACCTCTCGAGGACTCCAGGCGTACCGCATGCACCGCATGAGACGACAACGAGCTTCTTGGCCTTGACGGTCTTGACGGGGTGCCTCGTCGTGTTCAGGACAGCTTGGTAGTCGGGGTTCGGGGTGTACTCTACACCGACGGCACGCTTGTGCTCGTCGAAGATGACCTTCACGACCTTGGACTCAACCAGGACGTGGAGGTTCGGGTGCTTGCCGTCTTCGAGAAGCGGGTGCAAGAAGGTATGGGCAGCATCTTGTCTCTTTCCCTCAGGTGAGACGTAACGCATCCACCTTTCGAAGCCATTGTTTGCCTCCATGTTCTGCAGGTCGCGGATCTCGGAGTATCCCATCTGCTGCGCCGCAGCCAGGATGTCATCCTCGGCACCCGGAACCCGAAAGCCTCCCGAAGAGATGTGCACGGGGCCCGTCTTGCCGTGGTCTGCCGGGTCACCATTGCCATGGTACGTCTCAAAGCGGTTGAGGTAAGGCCGGAGGTCTTGGGATGACCAGCCGGGTGTCTTCCAAGAGTCGAAGTCGGATTTCTGGGCGCGCGTGTAGCTGCAAGTATGACTCGTTAGCAATGGGTCTCGTGAGGCAAAGCAGAGTCAGAAAGAGGCCGATCGTCTGGAGCTAGACCCCGAGCTACCCCAACTTTTCCCCCTTCCCGATTTCATATGCCGCGTTCCCCCGCATTTCGGATCTGGGGGCGGGATGAAACCGTTGACGAGCTGTTGGGTACGGTGTTCGTGGGGTAAAGGGCGGAATTCTGGGCAAAATTACGTACAGCATGAAGTTGATGGAGGAACCGCCTCCAAGCATGCCCCCAGATGGAACAATGGGGCTGCGGCCTGCCAGCTGCTCCGATGGGCTGCCTTGGTAGAAGATTGCGGTCTTGCTGTCGGGAGCAAGGTGGTCGAGGAAAAAGGCCGGATGAACGACGTTGGGGACGTCGCGGTTATTGGTTCCGCCCTCAATGACCAGAATTGAGAGTTCTGGCGCAGTTGTCGCGAGGCGGCTGGCGAGAACGCAAGCTGCGGTTCCTCCTGTTCATTGTTAGCAATTGCTCGAGTCGTTGTAGACAAGTTTCGGTATTACCTCCAGCGATGATCACGTCCACCTCATCTAGGCCATCGGCCAACTTCTTTGTAAGACCCATTGCGGCGGTATCGCAGAAAACAAAAGACGGTTGGTTCTCAATGGATCAGAGAGACAACGGGCCAGAGAGAGTCGGGACGAAGGCCGCAGCAGCAAACACATCGCGGACCCTAGGTTTTATATGCGTACTCCGCACCGCCAAAGCTGCATTGGAGACGAAAACGCGCCCAGACATTGCTGAAATCTCTCATTCCGCAGTGCTTCCGCGCGCTGATCTCTCGTTCTGATACCCATTGTTGGGGCACATGGCCGCACGGATGATGGCGGCCGCCAGCTGCGCCAGGCGGCCGGGCGGGCGAGGTGCATCGGGTGCGGGGAAGGGTGTCCTTTGGTGATGTGTCTGGAGCTGTGCCGCGTTGCATCGTGGAAGCAGGCCAAGGTAGAGACCTCGTACGCTGTGTCTTAGACAGGGGGCCTTTTCGTCTGTATGGCCAATGGATGCTGGCGTGTTTGCTAATCGCTGCAGCTTTCAAGGGTCCTAATGCTTCTTCGGTTTAGCCTTACCATTCAGGGCGAAGCCGGGATGCGTGTTAGGGGCATGCAAGCTGCTGTGTAACTGCGCTATTGACTAAGGGCCATCGGAAGCGAGCACTCAGGTTTTAGGGAGACACGGAGAAAACAATGGAGAACTCGTAATACTGACTCTGACTCGAAGGATTGTTAGAGTTCAACGAGGTCGGACGTGTCAACGTGCTGCGGTTTGTACGACGATCTCTGGGGACGGCGAAGGATTCAGTGTGCGTGCGGGGGATGAGGGGGAGACGGGAATCCATCCCGAGGGGCTGCGCCGCCGGGCCCCCGACGAATGAGCTTCCAAGGACGGTTGCCATCTTCCTTGTTGGGGGATGTGGGAGGGATCCTCTTTGCGGGGTGAACAAGGGTCCGCCAAGGAGGTTGCTGAGTGATGGCACGCTGCGGTTCATTTTCTAGAAGGGGAATGATGCTTTGAAGCGCATGGCGCTTCGTCAGATCCTATGTAACATAGACATATTTGTAGTAACCTGATATGGAATTTTGGTATTTTGTCGGTGAAGTAAGATGTTGTTGCTCTCTTAGGCTGGAATTGCTCGCATCATCAGGCTGTCGCAGAATCATGGGCGACCCATTGTAGTCTCAGCTGGGATCCTCAAGTGAGACAAGGTAAGGCAAGGAAAGAGAACCACAAATAATGACTCGGGTGTTTGGAGGAGATTTTCCATTCTTCTCAATTGGCACCAGTACCTTTTGAGCAAAATCGATCGCCAAGAGCGGACATCTTAGGCAACATGCAATTCGATAGTCCTCAATTAAACCTGCTCCTGAAAAGCAGGAACAAGCCTACCAGCGCTTTATCTATCAATTAGTTTCTGCTATCAAGGCCCTGAGAGTCATAGGTGAGCATGTTAAAGGATTGATTAGCATGACATTCAAAATTCTGGTTGCCAAGAGCTGCTGTTTTCCTACTCGAAGATTTCTCGAAACGCCTTGAACTTCCCTTTCCTTCCCAGAGTTAGCTTTGACTCTTTGATATTTTCGATGCCCGCGTCAGGTTGTTCTTTTCTCATCCTTTGACTGCAAGATGTATGGACGTTTTTGAAGAACTCAAACCGAGTAGCCCACTGAGCTTGAAAGTCGTCCCGTAAAAAGACAAAAGCCTTTTTGTGTTTCCATTTGAGATACTCGCGAGAGGAGCTTTCCCGCCACACTTGTTCCGATAGTTGCGGGAAATGATTGAATAATGTTGCCGAGTAGTTTGGGACCTCATGGTCGAATACTGGTGTCTTCCAACACATGGCTTTTACTTCCCATCGCGCCATATCCTCGATGTCCGACTTCTGTCTGCCAGGGAATATAGTCTGAGGTTTTCTGTCCATCACTATAGTGGCAATCCAGTCGATCACCAGGTTGACATGATCGAAGTAACTCGCTTCCTCTTGACAGCATGGATCGTCTAGTTGCGGTTCGTCTGGTTGAGGTTCTTGTTGCCGCTCTTCCCCCCTCGGTTCCCCTGGACTTGATTCTCCTCGTTGCCTTTCTGCTTCTGTTTTTCTTTCCGCTTCCTGTCTTATTTTGGCTTCCCGCCTTCTTTCCATTTCTCGCCTGACTTCCGCATCGCGTCTTCTTTCTCTTTCCCACCCGGCCAACTCACTTTCTTTTTTCGACACCTCCAGCTCACTGATCCTTCGCACCCCGGCTGAAGTCGCTTCGCGCTCATCTGTTACATCTTCTTCTGACTCATCCACCATATTGCGAATTTCCATTTCCGTCAAGCCCTCCATATCTCTTAAATGCGCAGATTCTTCCGCGGTTTTGGAAAGCAATCTTTCCTCGATCTGATGTAAAAGGGACCGCAAAGATATTCGTCTTGCAAAGTAAAGATATGGAGACATTTGTTTTCTGACGACTCCACTAGTGAGTGTCCATATCTTGTTGTTTGGCCAATACTCTGGCTCCTTGCCCTCTTGCTCAAGTGCTCCAACAGGATCGTTGCCTTCCATATGAGACCAAAACCAGTCCAACTGTTCGTTGTCCTTCAGACGGATCCCGTCATGCGTGGTTAGAAACTTAGCCCATGCTTCGACGCGCTGCTGCATACGTCTCGCCTTCTCGACATAATAGTGTATGATGTACGCAAAGTCATGAGCTGCCCTCGCGATGACTTCAATTATCCGGCTTGCAATGCCCGGTTGCCATATGATGTCATCGAAGAAGACGGAAAGCAGGGTGACCACAACTGTGATTGCCTCGCGATCCTGGTATAGGCTCGGGAGATATCGTGTGATAGTACTGGTGATTTGATCAAGCTTCTCCAATTTCTCTTTCCGTTGATCGTATGTTTTCCTCTGTTCTCCGTATACGTAGAAGTCCTCATCCGCATTTTGCCACATATTCGTCGAGTCGGCCGGTTCCGCGACGGACATGGAGTCTCCTTCCCAGAGAAAGTCTGGGGACACATTGCCTGTTGGCGTTTTTCCGAGCCCAGAAGTCTTCTCATCTTCATTGACGTTCTTGAGAATCCACTGGCTTTCATGAGCGTCTCTGCCCTCATGATGTAAGATATTCAGAATACTGAACCCTTTCGCTGCACAGAGAGAGATGGTCTTCTGATCCCGCCCGTAGATATTTCGTAAGCTGATGTCCGCTCCGTGTTGGATCAATACACGCAAAATGTTATGTCGGTTGAGCTTAGCTGCAACATGAACGGCTGTATTTCCATTTATGTCGGTAGCATTGAGTGGCGCACCTGCTTCCACCAGGGCCATAACCACGTCGATAGTGCCGCTAATTACCCCACAGTGTAGTGGTGTTCCAAAGATATCATCTCTGACATCTAGCCTCGGTTTCCGCCTGAGGAGACAAGTGACGAGATCGGATGCTCCGACATAGCAAAACCTATGAAGAGTAGTCGCTCCCTTCTTGTCGACGTGGTTCAAATCTGCGCCTTTGTCTAGAAGCAGATTAATGTTGGCAGAAGATGCGCAGTAGTACAAGGGTGTTCGGCCCAAGACGTCCTCGACCTGCATTAGTTCGACGTTCTCCTCCAGGATCCAGCCGGCGACAACGCATGAATGGCCAGTCACAGCTAGATGGAGTGGTGTTTTCCCCACATGGTCTCGAGAAAATGCCCTACCGCTGACACCTTCAGCGTATGAGCGGAGTAATTTAGGGATGGTAAGCGTCTCGGGAACATCGCGACGAGCTGCGATTTGAGCCGAAAAGTGGATGGGATATGTGAAGATATGCGGGCTCGTAGGGGATCGAAAAGGCATCTTCGCAAGTCCTTTGTCGGAGCGGAGAAGAGCTGCGATGACATGATAGTCTTGGAAGTCGATCGCCGTCATTAGACCAGTTCTTCCAGATGCGTCCATGGCCCCAAGAGGCTGTATCCCGCGAATCAGTCGTACGGTCTCAGCAAGCTGCTTAGCATGGTTAGAACCATGCATAGCAAGACGCTCAAGGGTGGTTGATGAACTCAGAACACAAGCGAGAGAGTTGATACTTGTCTGCTGTCGGGATTTCGTTTGCTCCAGTAAGTAGGCAAGGATTTCGCTGCAGTGGTACTTGGCCGCAATATGAAAAGCCGTCCATTGAGATCGAGTGTCATTTGATGGAAACTGCGTTTGGCCATAGACGAGGGAAAAGGGATCAGCGCCAAGGGAAAGAAGTGCCTTCACCGCTGGAAAACTGTTGACGGAGATGGCAACCGCTAGCGGACTGCCCAGTAATTGCAGAGGCCACTGGTCGTGGACTGATCCTTTCGAGGACATCGGAAGATTGACTAGACGTCTTTCTAGTTTCCCAGAGAGATTATCGACTATTTCTTCCAAGACTGTATCCTGAAGCATGAACAGCCAGTGGAAGGGACTGCATCCGTCAATGGAGCAAGAGCTCAGGGGGATCCCTTTGGATAACAGATCAAATATTGCTGACGAGTTTGCGTCAAAGAATGCTTTTACTAGACTTGGCATTGCTTCTGAGTAAGTCGAATTAGAGTGCAGCAAGCTGGAGATTTTCGTAGCATAAGGTTCTTCCGGCGATTCTGAGCAGTCGTTCTCGTGAGGATCCAGCAAATTCCCGAAAGCCATGGCAAGCGGGTGAAACTTTGACCTGGCCATCTCGCAGTACTTGTGTGTGTTTTGAGCGTCCTGAATGGTCCCGAAGCCGACATGATAGCATAGAGCAATCTGCCAGGATATGGGTCCATGCTGACTTGACAGATTATTAGTATGTGTTTGTTTCAAGCCCTGGAATATCTGTCGCTGGTGATCCCAAAGAATTTCTTTCCCGGTGTCGAGACGAAACATCTACCAGAATGTCAGTCTTCCATTCAATTGAGCTGTCACCTTGCGTTGAAGGAATACTTCGTAGGTTGGTCTAGGTGCTTCAAAGTGCAGGGCCAAATCAGTCTCAAGTCCAAGTAGGTCACCGGTTCTAATCTATTAGCTTTGAACTTGAGGTCAATGATGGGATGAATGAACACAGTGTATGTACGTACTTCCATCTTGCTGAGAGAGGGAGATCACGTATACTTGCAGCTCTTTTCATGGGATCTTCCTGGATGGTCTTGTGTAGAACAACCCGAAGAAACATGACCGTGCCAAGTTGCCCCTTAGGCAGACATCGCTTTGCATGGTGCAGCATCTCAGCTGCACTGATGCCAGGATCGTTGCCTGAGATGTTTGCGGCGACGCCTCTCCTTGCAAGGTACTTGGTGTATTCTTCCCCTCCGATACAGGCCTCCCATACGAGAAGGCCAAAGGCCCAAGTATCACATTTCCAAACCTCTGTTCTGTCTATTGGGAACAAGTCTTGAGTTCTCACTTCCGGGGCATTGTATCTGTTGACATGGTAAGTCAAGAAGCTTTGAGTTGTTCCTTAGGATAGGGTCGTATCTTAACCTACATCGTTGTACCTCCGTACTTGACAGTTTCATCCTCTTGCTTCTTCGATTTGTCGTTTAGAATAAGGGCGTGGCCAAAGTCCGTCAATTTTGCCAACGCCTTGGCGGGACGGTCCAGGGATGGAAATACCAGTACATTGTCCAGTTTGACATCGCCGTGAACAATGCCGCATACGTGCAAGGCCGCAAGGGCTGACGCCACGTCACCAAGAAGAATCTCAACGTCAGAAAGCGTCGGAGTAAGCTTCTGAATATACTCTCGCAGCGTCCCCAGCGGAGCGTACTCAACAACTAGGAAAGGCATGATTAGTTTGCCCCGGAGATTCCAACCATATCCAACAACGGTGGGAAAATTAGGATGGGCTCTGAGTGGTGAATGTCTCATGATCTGCGCCTCGACGGTCACTGCGCTGAGCCTCCTGCGGAAAGTTTTCTCGTCTGGGGTGTTGCTAATCTTAAGATGCTTGATGGCGAAAACGCTGCCACCCTGGACTGCTTTCTCTACCAGGTACGTCTCGCCCTCACCAAGAGTCTCTTCGCGGGCTAGTTCCTCGTAGCGGTAGCGGCGTAGATGAAGCGAACCCACTGCCCGGATGACATCTTCGAGCCCATTTACCGATTGGCTTTGCCGCTCCGAGAAGATGGCACAAGTCAGTGTAGAAACCGATGTTCGAGATAAGAACGTATTCCAGCTCAATGTTGAGCCGACCGACGCTGGAGCACATTCCATCTTCTCAAAAGTGGTCTTAGTTCATGGAGGATGAAGACGTCGTTTCTCATGCCGCGACTATCGATCTCTTCATACGAAAACGAGAAGAGGTCAGTACTCATGTCCAAAGCGCATTCGTCTTGATCTTACTTTTGAACTCTTGAGGGGAAGAGCAGCGAACCAGTTGCATCATCGGGGACCTAAACCTATTTGAGAATCAGGCTCCGTGGCTCCCATGCACCATTGGGTCGCACGAGGCAGAATCAGGCTGCATGGCTCTAGTCAAGACTAGGCCGCGCACAGGGGTGCAGTAATCATGCTACAAGCTGACTGCATGATCAGGACATGACTGGTGGAAACAAAATGAGGGCTATCTGTCGCCTCCTCGACTTCGACTGCGTAAAGCATCATTGGGAATGTTCAAGCATTCACAAGACTTTTATCGGTCACAGTGCACATAAGTCTAAGCGAGAATCGCGATGGACCCCCTTAGCATTGCCGGATTTACAATCACTGTGCTCGACCAATTATGGAAGATTGGTAACGGAACGGCGGAGCTAGTCTCCAACTATCGAGACTTTGACACTGTAAGAGTCCCCGCCAGCCCGAGAATGAGCCTATGAGAATATAGCTGAGCCAACTACACTGAGTAGGACACCAGAGCACTAGAGAGCAAGATTCGAGATGAGAACAACCGAACAAGAGCTCTGCAGCTGCTATTATTCGAACAGTCCAGTGTGAGTACTGAGGTGTTGAGATTCATGTCATTGCTTGTGCCCCTGACTGATGCGAGGATCAAAGACCTATGGAGGCAAGTCGCTCTTCGAACAATTCGACAAAGATGTTCAAGACCAGATACATGTCTTTCTTGAACAGGCATCGGATGTGTTAGAACAGGCCTACAAGCTTCTCGGTCGCCGACAGAAAGCCGACACTAAGGATAGGGATCTTCAGTCTCCAGCGAAACCAGGTTTTCTGGCAACACTCTCGCCAGCTCCCAGTAGCACTTCTTTGAGTTCCACCTATTCAGTATTGAAACGTCCCAGGTCGCTCCAACGGATAAAGTGGTCTCTTGTGGACAAGAAGCGGGTGGGAATTATCGTCCAGGACTTCAGCGAACTGAACGGCAGGATTCATGAAAACATCAAGTTGTGGTGTCTTGGAACATCCATAGGTGTCAATCTCCAGCATCTCAACCGTCTCGAAACTGATGACAATTCTCGAGCGCTAGGGTTTGACATCGACGCAAGGCTTCAACTAGCTGCTAGCCAGAATCAAACCACCGCTCAAAGCCTCGAGATCAACGACCCCTCTCTACGGCAATGTATTGAGAATGCCAGATTATTTGGAGACAAATTTGGCATATTTCAATGGGAGGGCAAGCCGTGCCTAGTCGAATATCGTTCTTACTCCCCAGATTCGCCTGTTCCCATACCACTTGACGACCGAACGCGGGATCTTGTCGACAAGCTTGCCAACCTTCTTCACCAGCCCAAAGAGATTGCATTTAGGACACCGAGTTGCCAAGGCTGGATGAGGCAAACGCCGCAAAACAGGGTCGCATACATGTTTTCTCTACCGGAAGCCACTAACCCCTGCCCGACTAGTCTCCTTGACGTTCTTTCTGGAAACAATTCTCACCCGCCGTCCCTGAGTCAGCGATTCTGTCTAGCAGTAAAATTGTCTAGATGTATCTCGCAACTTCACCTTGTAAAGTGGGTACGTATGCATGCCATCTTCCACTCGAAACCTGATCTAGTTGTACAAAGTCGCCTGATATGTTCCAATCTGACGCTGACTAGGTCCACGAGAGCTTCCGCAGCGAAAGCATTCTTTTCTTCCCAATCATCGACTCGGAAGAGAGCGTCACGTCTCTTGACAACAATCTTGACCTGTCGGAACCATGGCTTTTAGGCTTCGAGTTCAGCCGCCCAGAACAATACTTCTCACACGGGCATGCCGACGCATGCTTGTCTCGGGATATCTATCGACATCCGGAGCGACAGCAAAATCCGACTCAGATATTCAACAAGATACACGATATTTATGCTCTAGGCGTGGTTCTTCTTGAGATTGGTATGTGTAGATGTGTTGCAATTAAAGCGAGTTGAACAAAATGCTTACTCGCCATAGGGCTGTGGCAACCGGTATTGACCCTCGAGAAGTCCGGGTTTTCCAAAGTTCGAGACCCACACGCTATTAAGAAGCATCTTATCAAGCATGCGGAAAAGCGTCTTGGAGCTAAAATGGGAGACAAGTACCAGAAGGTCGTTCTCAAGTGTCTGAAAGGGGACTTCGAGGTTGTCGATGACACCAAAGAAGACCTAAAGTTGCAGCAAGCATTCAGAGCAAACGTTGTGGATCTGTTGCAAAGATCGGCTGATAGTATTTAAAGCCAAAGGACAGCAAGGTGTGTCAAGCAATCACAAGGAGAGATATCTGCGAGCGTTAGTGAAGAGATTAGTACTTACGAGGAAGTACCTTAGCCTCATGGACACTTGTTCTATTTGTGCTCCCCAAAGCAATCATAACAATGCCTCCCGATTTGATGTTACTTGAGCGTTATAAGTGACAACTGAGTGTGAATTGAAGGGCGGCACAGCTCTCGCCGCAATCCTATGCAAAGCTTCAGGCCGGGGAGACCCAATTCCGATCAAATAGGTTGCTGCTAAGCAAACCTTCACAAACTCAAGAAATTGTTCCAATAGTCCCAATCCAAGTTCCCGTCATCCGTTAGCCCGAGACCATCAAGATCTTGCTGATTGGGAGCCATTGACCCTTGTGCCTCAACTTCCATCTTTTCCCTTGCTCTATCCCTAAGGGTCTGGATGAATCGAGGCGTAGCCTCCGGCTCCCGTAAGCCATGTGTTGCAGCCACTACATTGTGATGGGCTTCCCAAGCTTCGAGAGTCAAGTCTCTCAAGGCCTCGAAGAAAGTATTCTTTAACTCCAACATTTCTGGATACTCCTCGTAGAGTGTTTCAATATACTGCCAAGCCTTCTTCACTCGATCTCCAGTGCATCTATACCGAAGTTCGCTAATGATGTAGATGTAGGCGTCGATGTGGCACTTGGATGTCATGTGAGTGAAGATATGCGCAGAGAATCTGCTCCGCAAACCTGCCTCGGCCGCCTCAACCCAATTCATCGCCAACTCAAATAACATGTCATTCTCCTCTCGACTCATGACAACATCGTCGCTGTTACCGGTCCTTCGACACCTGGGATGATAGACTTTGAACCTCATCCGAGCAATCACCAGCTTCGCCATGTTGAACGTCTGCGCATGAATCGGGATCCGCTTGTCTACGTCCTTCAGGTACTTGTTGTAGTAGATGCCCTCAATCTCGTTGATGGCCTTGCTCTCGACCTCCATCATGGTCTTGTCTCTCGCCCGGCTCTGGGCAATATGCTCGAAGACCAACGATGCTGCAGGTGTCGAACGAATCCAGTTGAAGACTTCGTGCTTCATCAGCACGCATATCATCTCGGTCGAGCGACTGTGCTCGATCGGTGCCTCGGTCATGTCGGGGTGCAAATCCGCGTCGTTGACGTTCAAGGGCGAGCGCACATCGCCAAATTCACTCCTCGACGGTGGACACCTCGAATCTGGGCTTCCCAACGCGCGAGTTCGCGCTTCGAGTCCGTATAACTGCCACCATACCCGAATGCGCATCTCCCTCTCGAAAAAGGATACCTTGGGATCTGATTTGGCATGATGAATGCCCAGGCTTCTGCATAGCTTCAGGGCCGCGGCAGTCAGAGTAGCCGTCAGCTCGGACTCGGGGTTGATGAAGAGGAACAACACAAAAGCCTGGACAACCTCAAAGTCTTTTGTCGTGAGAAAATCCGCTTCGACGAGGGCTTGGAAGGCTGCAGTGCGGTAGCGCGTCATCAACGCGACTCTGCTCTCGTTCAAAGCTTTTTGGCAGGCTTCCGGCGACATTGAGGTGACGGAGAGGGCGTATATGGCGAACATGGTTGCTTGCAGGGGCTGAGGTGCTGAAGAGGGGTTCCAGCTTGCATCAAGGACGCGTTGTTGTAGGGTTGGGATGTGGACAATCTTGAAGAGAGGGTTGATGTTGTCGACGAAGATTTGCCACAGTCGATAGATGTGTTGAGGTTCAGGATGAGATTGGGAGGGTGAAATATTTTGGGCGGAGAACATTTGATGAAGTGACGGCATCGGTGTCAGGATGGGATCGTCTTTATGGCAGACGCCGTAGATTGGAGGATACTTGAGCTGATGGATATCTTAGATTTGGTACTTAAGAGGTCGCAGTATTTGGAACTGACATACCTCTGGGCTGAGATTTGACCATGAACATCTACTGAAGAGTTAGTGGAGGGGCAATGCTACCATACGTTGTGGACATGCCTTTCTGTGTCTCCTGACGAATTATCGATATTATCCGAGCGACCAACTGCTGAGCCCGGGCTGGTAAGTGCCGGTGTCAAAGGATTGAATCGCATCGGCTCCGGCTCATCAACTTGAGCTTCTAGTTTAGACGGGATCCACGTATGCGCCAGAGGTGCAAAGTCAACGTTGTTCTTCCGCATCAAGTCCTCGTAAGCGGCCAACCGATTGAGAAGGTCATCGTCGGCGGCCCGCTTTCGGGGTCTTCTATGCAAGGCGGGAGCCTCGTAAACGCATTGAGATTGCGATTTGAGGCAATTGGAACAGGGGTCTCCTTTGTCACACTTGACTTTACGGCGTGAGCAGATAGAGCAGGCAGGCTTGTGTGGTGATGGTGATCCGGAGGCCATGTTTGAGGTTAGGGCGTAGTCTCATGGGCGGTGAATAGTTGGAGAACATCAGTCGTGATCTCGGGAAATGAGATTGCCAAATGACAATCTTCAGTCACGCAGAGAGATAACGATGAAGAGCCGTGGACAAAAGAGTCTTTAAGGTGACGGGATGTGGCTTCGGGCGGTTCGGCCACGAAAGAAGCTTAGTGTGATCCTTCTCGGGGCTGGGCCAACCAATCACGCTCAGGCCGTCATGGCGCTACCTCCTTCCGGGTGGATAAGGGGTGACGGTCAGATCCTCCGCCGGATTGACCTGTAAACATTTCCGTGGTTTGTCCGGTGCAAAACCGCACCAAGATTGGCGGCAATAGCCAGAGACTTGCTGACTATGAAATGGAGAATATGGAGTCCGGCCCGTTCCATGCGGATACTCAGCAGCGTATGCGCTAACCCGATTTTGATTATTCGGGCCCGAAGGCATTTCAACATTCATGCTAGGCCATTCAAACAACAGACTTGGGTGTTGATCTTCTCGGGACATCAACTAGGCTGCCCGAGAATATTATGGTACATAGAAACACGATCAATATACAAAAAGACACAACTTGCCAACCTAATGATGTATCTATTCTCTCGCTCAGTATCGTGCCTCAGATTCCCACTCAGAACACCCATTCAACAGCAACACACCCATCTCTTATCTTCATCATGTTCTTCAAACAGAACCAATCCAGAGACTCCCATGTCTCAGCGCAACCGTCCGACTCTTCGACACATCCCGATCAAAACCCAGTCGTTGAAGACACCGATATGACAATGGAAACACAGGAAGCAACCCATACGAAGACGAATCAATCCGAAGATGTCCAATATCCTTCAGGGCTGAGTCTTGTTTTGGTCCTGGGCTCCCTGTTCATTAGCATGTTTCTAGTTTCGCTCGTAAGTTTTGAAGATCCTCCTGTACTAAGAATGTCCTTAGCTAACAGCATCATCTTCCAGGATCGATTGATTATCACGACCGCTATTCCTAAAATTACCGATGAATTCGACTCTGTAACCGACGTCGGATGGTATGGCTCTGTCTTCCTCCTGACAACCTGCGCATTTCAACTGCTTTTCGGCAAAATATACTCCTTCTATAGCATCAAGGCGACATTCCTTGTCTCGGTACTCCTCTTCGAAGTTGGTTCCGCAATCTGTGGTGCCGCTCCCAGTTCCGATGTCTTTATTTTTGGTAGAGCCCTGGCAGGTGTTGGCTCGGCGGGAATCCTCACAGGCGTGGTAAGTGCTTTGGAAGATACGCCCCTCCTAGTAAGAAATTCGCCATCTAATGCAGCCTCCGCCTAGATCATTGTAATCGTGCACGCCGTGCCTCTCCATAAGCGACCCATGTACCAAGGCATGTTCGGCGCTGTCTTCGGCATCGCCTCGATCATTGGGCCTTTGGTTGGAGGTGCTTTCACAACAAGGCTTACATGGAGATGGTGTTTCTATATCAACCTTCCTTTCGGCGGAGTCGCTGCCTTGGTGATTGTCTTCCTCTTGAAGCTCCCCGACAGAGAGGCAAGCACGCTCTCCACCAAGGCCAAGTTGGCGCAGTTGGACTTTTACGGAACCTCGGTGCTTATCCCCGGAACCGTCTGTCTGCTGCTGGCATTGCAGTGGGGCGGATTGACCTATGCTGTAAGTCGCGATGATTCTTTTATTGATGACATTTATATCCTAACATGGCGTGTAGTGGAACAACGGACGTATTGTTGCGCTTCTTGTACTCGCCTGCGTGCTTCTGATTGGCTTTGTTATGGTCCAGATCTTCTTGCCCAAGACAGCTACTATCCCTCCCAAAGTTTTCAAGCAGCGAAGCATCTTGGCAGGTGTCTTTGCAACGTTCTGCATCGGATCGCAGAACATGATCATAAGTAAGCATCGCTGACCTACATGTTCCATACCTTGAACTAACGAGTACCAGTCTATTACCTGCCCATCTGGTTCCAGGCCATCCAAGGAGTCTCTGCTGTTGAATCAGGCATTCGCCTGCTCCCACTGGTGCTCTCCATGGTCGTTGCGTCGCTGATGACGGGAGGTCTCATTCGCCGAACCGGTTACTACACGCCGTTCCTCATCATCGGAATCTGCCTCATGAGCGTTGGCGCTGGACTCCTGAACACTTTGCAACTGGATACTCCCAGTGCCAAGTGGATCGGGTACCAGATTCTATACGGCTTCGGCACCGGTTGTGCCTCTCAGGTCCCCAACATCGCCGCTCAAACGGTACTTCCTAAGAAGGATGTCCCGATCGGCACCTCCCTCATGTTCTTCTCTCAGCTTCTTGGAGGTGCCATTTTCATCTCCGTGGGCCAGAACGTCCTCAACAATCAGCTTCTTGAGCGCCTATCGTCGGTCCCGGGCTTCAATTCCGCCTTGATTGAGAGCAGCGGTGCCACTTCCTTGACAAATCTGCCAGCTTCTGTTAAGCAGACTGTTTTGGTTGGCTACAATGAGTCGTTGCGTGTTGTCTTCCGTCTTGGACTCATCTTGACCTGTCTCTCGATTCTTGCGGCTTTGGCGATGGAATGGCGGAGCGTTAAGCAGAATACAAAGAAGGAAGTGCCAAAGGCTGAGGAAAGCCAGGCAGCTGAAAAGGTGTAGCCGAGGACGTCGGATGAACACAACGTTTGTGGGGGTAAATGCATGTGTGATTTCTAATTTGATAGACTTGCTTCATAGCCAAAATCCGGATCTCAGCTCTAAAGCAGTGACAAATTGGTGCTCTTTTCGCTTGAACTGGTCTTTTTGGGGTTGATGAATGCATGGGACGAGGGTCCAGCATGATGCCTTAAGTTGAGTTGAATGTTCCGGCTGATAAGCAGCCCAATCTATCAGGCACCGGCTGAGGACCTTCCGATCACCAGTCCATTACAGACAACTTTCGATGATGCTTCACGTTCAACTTGCCATCTGGAAACAACATCAAGTTGTCCGTCTTCCGACTTTAAAATGGGAAGTCATGCGGACCTTGAGAGCAAACCAGTTTGACCAAGGCATCGATCCTACGCTAGCGGGCAGACGAATACTACCTCATACTGGCTATCAAGGGCATGATTTTGACATTAATCCGATGTTGATGTCGATCCTGCCAAATCATTTGACGTCGCTTAGATCGACGAGACACCTAAGCCTCGACTAGGCCTCAGCTGCCCATGCGCGAATCACGAGTCTCGTTTTTGGATCTTTCCGATGAGTCGATTCCTGTTCCCAGACCGCCCGTCGTATGGATCACTGGTCTGGGCTTAAAGTGTTTGGAGCAGTCCGGAATCGAATGACACATTTGGCAGACCAAGATGCGATTGGCACACCAGGTGGGTGGGTTCTTAGGGCCCCGACGGGACCCGGGGCGACCGGGGGCCCCGGCTTCCGTGGCCCTGTCAGTATCTGCTTCAACGGACCTCCATGTAACACTAGGCTGATGCAGGGGTGTTCCGGGAGAGTCGCCGGTGTCCTCGGCGGAGGCCAGACCTCAGCCACCATGTCAAAAGACCGGCGCTTGGCGGCGATCGGTAAGAGCACGTGGCGAAGAGGCTGTCATGAGAGCATGACAGACGTGACAGAGGCGATGGAGGCAATGACGTGGAATGGGTTGGTCGTGATAGTGCCTTGGTTTGTGTCACTGAAAGTTTGCATCCTACGCGGGGAGAGTTCTGTCATGACCTATGCCATGCGGGGCCCCAAGAACGGCATAAGACGCCAGATAATATCATCATGTCAAATACTCCTCTGACGGGATGGGTTGTGGTTGCTGAGAGACTGGGATGTGATGATTGTTTAGAATGGCCTGCCTGGTCAAAGCTTCGGCCGCGGCATCACAGGCAAAGTTGCACATGTGTCTCTGCCCCGCGGGGCAAATCGATTCTCAGCCCCCATAGGATCGACAGATTCCTGATATCACCCGGAGCGTAACACGGCGACTTTTGGGTGGTATGCGGGACTAAATCTGAAAATCTGGGGTAGTACCTTGGCTCACATCTACAGGGCTGTGAAGGATCTACGAAACTTGACTGCGAGGCCGATCGCGCCGGGCCTCGTAAGATCACCCGCTAGTAACGTTTCACTACTGCCCACCCCCTCATGATGAGAAGATGATGTAGCTTCAACACATGCTTTCTCAGGTTGACAGGTTGAGAACAGCTAGAGAGTGGTAGTGGAAGTAGAGTAGACAACAAAATTCACGCTAGACGCTGTACGAGAACAGACAGAATAGTAATGAAAGATCCAACAATGATGATTTGCTACAGGCTAACTAAGCTGCAAGGAGTATCCCGGTCTGTACTTTATTCTTCATCCTCCAATGCCGCGTCTTCTGAGAAATCCACCACGTTCGCCTTAGTCGCGCCGGTTCCCGTCGCACCACCTCCGAGTCCACCGAGAAGAGCACCGAGTCCACCAAGTCCACCAGCACCACCTGCACCGGCCGCTCCTCCAGCTCCAGCTCCACCAGTAAGTCCTCCAAGGAGAGCACCAATACCGCCAGCACCAGCAGCACCGTTAGCACCACCACCGCCGAGGAGACCTCCGAGCAGACCCTCGAGGCCCCCGGCGGGAGCAGCGGGGGCGGCAGCTGGGGCCTTGGGAGCGGCAGGGGCAGCGGCGGGTGTCTTGGGAGTAGCTGGGGCAGCAGCAGGCGCCTTAGAGGCAGCGGGAGCAGAAGCAGGGGGGGCAGCACCAGGCTTGCTAGGAGTTGCGGGAGTTGCTGGAAAGTATTGGAGACATTCGTTAGTATTCGATTATACGGTTCTCTTCGGAAGGACGAGCGAGCGGACGGGGGGGAGAGCGAGGGGACGCGGCGCGCGACGTAGGGGGGGTGGTTTACGCACCACCGCCGTAGGCCTGGATGCCCTTGTCGATAGCGGCGGTGATCTGGTCGATAGACTGTTGAGCGATGCCCTGGCCGATGGCGGGAACCTTGGAGACGATAGCCTGGCCGAGACCAGCGGAGGCCTGCTTCTGAGCGGTGAGTTGCTGAGCGACAACCTGGGAGATACCGAGTTGGTCGAAGGTGGCCTTCTTCGCGATCAAGTCATCAACGGTCGTCGTGGCGGTGCTGGTGAGGTCGGTAGCGAGCTGCTGGAGTCCGAGGGCCTCCTGCAGCTGCAGGGCCTGGGCGCCCTGGATGTCGGTCTGAGCCTTCGTCAGAGCAGACTGGACATCTGTGGCGGCGGTCTGGACGGCAGCGACGGTGCTGGCGTCGTTGGCAGCCTGCAGGTTGCTCGTGTTAGTCTGACTGATCTGAGCTTTACCAGGAGCGGGCGCGTGGGAAATTGAGCCAAACGGCTGCTTTTGATCCCGCACCTGCATATGCCCGACGTTGGGATGCACGTACCTTCACAGCGGTATCAAGCTTCTGGAGAGATTGTTGAACAGATGTGACAGCGCCCTGAATCGTCGCGAGTTGGCGCTTCTCGTTCGTGGTCGGGAGGGCAAAGGCCGTGCCGATGAGGGTGAAGATGAGGGTCTTGGTCAGCTGCATTTTGATTCACTATCCAGAGTGATTCTGCTAATACGGTAAGAGGTATTGGATTAGGGAATAAGAAAAAGAACCTTCAAGGTGAATCTCCAACCCGGGAGTATATATGTGAGAGCGTTGAATGTGTCTGTGCCGACAAAGTTTGTTTGGTGATGAGCCTTTTTCATCTCCGATTGATCGCGGGAACTATCAGCATAATATACAAACCGGATGGATGCGCGCTGACCTCATGGGCCACAGGCATGCTCATCTCGTGAGTTCACCTCGGCAGCAAACCACCCTCCTCGATCGAGGCGACGGGGGATGCTGGATGCCAGGCGAACCAGGATGGACACAGCCCCTCCGAAGTCTGAGACGAAAGAAACCATCGAGTGTGGATATTATTATCGCACCTTAGCAGAAGGCAGAGGCAAAGAACGAGCAACGCGCTGTTTTCGGGCGTCTCAAGTGGTTCGACAGACCTCCCTTGTTTGGTGAGCCAGGGGGAGGGCACGGAGGACGTGCCACGTTAGGCCGGTCTCGACAAGTCAGTTGGTGTTCTTGGCCTAGCCGTTGAGAGTTGAGGGGAGCAGCAATAGCTTCCATGGCGTCTCCACGGGGGCCGTTTGACGAATTGAGAATTGCGCCATGTCGGAGGGCCCATCGTGCAGACAGAGTTGGTGTGTGTGAATTTGCGTTGTGTCGTTTGGTGTGGGGGCAGCCAACACAAGAGCAGAATAGTCAGTCGTGCGCGCTTCTTGGTCCAAGTTCAGATGAAACGAAACTCGACCGTGTCGTCTCAGAAGGTCGAGTGCAACTACCCTTTACGAGATCGGCAAGGAGTGCCATGCCCGAGCGGCAACGCTTATTACGGACGTTGTGAGACGGTATTGGGAGAAATTCGTCGGACGGCCCAGGAATGCCCAACGGGTATTGGTGGCAACGTGGGAGAGAGCAGGGTTGAGGCTCTCATGGGTTTGCCAGTTTCGGCTCTCCGCACTAACGACATCGAGTCAGAGAGTCAAGGAGCCTCAAGCGCGACGACATCTGTCATTCGCCCAACGTTTTTGCATGGATTCGTCGACGACACCGACACATGGCACGCCAGATGACCCAAGCCCAGAGCCCTCAGCCCAGCTATCCACACGCGTCAGTGGAGGCAATGCGTATGGATTGCCTTAATAGGAAGTGAGGGGGAGAAAACCTTCGCCAGGAGGGTGCCCGTCGGTTAGCCGGGAATGGCCCCAAAACAGGTTCAAACGGGGTCGCCATCTGGATCGCCGCATGGGTTACGCAGGAGTCCTGGCTTAGCTTCATCACGGCTGGCGGCTCACGGCTCACGGCTCTACTCCACGACAGCACTAGATTTAACCTTAGTGTTCTAGATGCCGCTCACAACCGCGCCAAGATGGGGCCATCGAAGTAACCTCCCGATCCCCCGCGAATAGAAAAAAAGGGTCCCTAGCTAGAAGCCTGTTTGTGTTGGTCTTGACCGGCGATTATAGTCTGGGGGGATACGCGGCATCGTCTTGGCTGTTTATGGAGAGAGGCGGCGATGATGTCGTATGGCGTAGTAGTCCGGTATGGCATATTGGAACCAACATCCAGCCAAGCTGAATGACACGGATGATCGGCTGGCAGCCACATCTGGCGACGCAGGGCCCTTCGGTTCATCGCCCAAACATCCAACACGGAACGGGGAGAGAAGGATAGCCGGATCACCAGACAAGCGGCTGCCAAGACTTGCGACGTGTTGGCCTAATCGGTTCCTGTCACCCAGGCCCTGTCAAGACGGGCGCCACGCATAACTTGGACCACGTCGCTGAGTTCCCTTTACCCTCCGCCTTCCTAGTTTGGCAATCCATGAGTCAACTCGAGGGCGGATAGTGACAGAACGAGGTTTTGCAAATGGGCAAACGCGGTTTGGTGTCAAGTTGCAGAGTCGCGGAGCTACGGCCATTCCGTTCGCCTGGCGTCGCTGCACAGAAGGCGGGATTTGTTCGAGAAGGAATCTGTCTGACACTTCCTGTTGCCGTGGTGCCGTTCTCAGGCCCTTTCCACCCCTTCTTTCAGCTCTTACGTTTAACAGCAGAGTTGCCGATGCGAGTGCGATTATTCGCTGATTCGGTGCGGCAGCAAGACAGAAAGATGGGATGACGACTGACTAACTAGCCTTCCCATAAGGCGGACCAGTCCGCGGAATGCGATTCGCCTGTCAGTTGAATGGAGCCTGGGTGGCTGGGGCGCCTGATCGACTCGAGAGTCTGGCATTTTGTGGATATTTGGAAGATCCTTCCTTCGGCCCTTTCGGGTTTCGGCCGGTGCCAGTTGTTTCTCGCATTTCACTTTATTTGACAGCGCATTCCATGTCAAAAGACCGAGAAGGATCGGCCCCGCTACGGCCGGCCGCCGGCGGCGTTATCAGTGAAATGCGGGGCTGTCTCTCGGGCGGCCCGGATTCGGTCCTGTAAGTCCGTCAGTAAACTCGGGAAATCCGCTCGGTGATTTCGTGCAGCAGCGGCGAGACAGAAGCTAGAAGCCAAAAGAGGCCTGTTTTGAGAGAGGTTAAATAGCACAATACCAAGCTTTATTTCCACGCCCGGAAAAGAAGAATAACTACCGCCGCCGCCTGCTATCAGCATCTCTTGTTCGATATTACATGATCACTATTCTTTGTAGTAGGACCTTCGGAATTCAAACAATCGTAATCGCCTAATCGCCATGGCAGCCTGTACTGAAACACTCACGGACCTGGTCTCCCAGCTCTCTGGCATCGCCACTTCGCCCGCCAGCGACGCGGAAAAGAATGCCGCCGCTGCCGGAATTGCCAAGCAGATACTCAAGACAGTCCGAACTCCCTACCCTGATTGGATGGAGAAGGCATTTGCGAATGTAGAGATCACGGCACTGCGGCTTTGCATTGATTGGGGCGTTTTTGCCGCCATCCCGGAACAGGGCACAATCTCGTTCTCGGAACTTGCCAAGCAAGTGAAATCAGAGACGTCGCTGATTCGTATGTTCTTGATGATTAAGCTGCTACCAGAGCTGGGCAATTGACACTTGCCTTAGGACGCATCTGTTGGGTTCCTATCGCGAGCGGCGTTTTGCGCCAGTATGGAACCGATCAAGTCGGGCACACGGCGCTCTCTCGCCAATATCTCCCAGGAAGCCCCGATGGCCTTCTGCTGTCCATGGTGTGAGTAACACTGCCCCGGCGACTATCTTCATCGGCTAACCATGTGCCTCTCACTTCAGTTTCGATGAGCACATGCTCCCAGCCTTGAAGCTGCCTGAATACTTCATCGAGTACGGTCGCCGCGAACCAGTTACCCGTCTCCACACGCCTCATGCGTACAGTCACGGCCAGCCCAACAGGGACATATGGGAGATCCAAAAGGAAAATCCCCAGCGCATGAAGCGATTTATGGCAGCGATGGATGTATTGCAAAAGTTCATCCCGTTGGTTGGCATGTACGACTTCAGCTGGGTCAAGTCAAAGCTTGCGGAAGACAAAGATCGCGTCATTCTCGTCGACGTTGGCGGCGGCAAAGGCCACGCCATCAAGGCTATTCTCAACGAGAACCCCTTCATTCCGGCAGAGCGTGTTGTCCTGGAGGATCGCGACGAGATCATCGAGGAGGTGGCCGCATTGACGGAGCCCGAGCTTAAGGGCGTCCAGCTTCAAGTGCATGATTTCCATAAGCCGCAGCCTGTCAAGGGTAAGTCATTGAGTTTCTAGAGATTTCCATCATTCCCGCTGCAGACATTAGTTGACTTATGCAGGCGCACTGATCTACTGGATTCGCCGATGCCTACATGACTACGGCGACGACGTCTGTGTGAAGATGCTCACGCAGCTCTCGGACGCCATGGCTTCGGACAGCAAAGTTCTCATTAGTGAGATGGTTATGTCGAATCCTCCGGATCCCCTGGCCGCTATGAACGACTTTGGCATGCTGGAGATTGGAGGAAAGGAACGGACCGCGGACGATTGGGCAGAGCTGGTCGCACGGGCAGGACTGAAGATGGAAGGAATTCATGGCTTGGACAAGAAGATGCAGGTTATTGAGTGCATCAAGGCATAAGTTGGCGTATGTCAGCACACTGGACGAATATTTCACACGAGGCTGGCGTCGGATTTGATAGAACTCAACTCTTCTTGAAAACTGTTTGCAATCTCCGAGCCATCCAGCGTCCAGCATCGGATAACCCGACTGTTTGGTTGCGCACATCGTGATGATTGACCATGGCGGATGCTTCCGATTGGCAGATTTGCAAAGAAAGCCATTTGAACATTTTGATCCAATCACTTCCACGAAGGTTGGCTTAGTTCACTAATCTCCCCGCAACATCAACAACGCGTGTCGCGGAGCGGTTCCGCAGGCGCGAAACCATCTTTTGAATCAACTAGCTTTCCAACCCCAGATTTACGTTTGCCCAAGGTTCAACCCCTGCAGGTCTCTGAGTGAAACATTCTTAAATAGTTGACAAAAGGTAGTTTTCTGCAGTACATGAAGACGAAACCGACACCAAAATGCCCGACCGGATTGTCCAATCAGTCTGAGCAAAAGATTGGATGATCCTGTCATCGTTATCGGTAAGTTTTAGGAGATTTAGCAAAGGATTTGAGAACTATAACCGGGCAGATAACAACGTTACGCAATGCTCAAACTTCCTCGTGGTAAAACGCACGGCTGATGGGAGGCGTGCGTCATCGTATTTCGGGCATGTCATTGGGTGTCTATACGTCTCATCTGCTAATGGCGAATTGCCTTTATCACCATGCCGACGGGCCAGAACTATGACAGCCTTGGCCAAGGCTGTTCTCAAACTGCGGATTTATCGCGGCCGAGATGCCCAATTGCCCGTAGCATCAGAACCTGTAAGTTGTAAGATATGTCAGATGGTTCAGAAACAACCGGATTGAACCCTGGTTGGTACTTGAGAGATATCTTAGCCCGATCCAGGCTGAGCGATCTTGTTTTGACATCTTTCAACGCACTTGTGATCTGCGTTGGAGTTGT